TAAAACCTACATACAACAAATTATTGAATTATATCTACTTAACCAAACATTTTCAAACCAAAAAGAGTATATATGTTTAACAACACTTGCATTTGACTTACAAATTATTTATGGACACTTTCATAACGCGGATGCAGGTAGGCAACGTCTCGCATATATCGTTCTAGCCATAAAATACCGAAACCACAAGCCTACTGCACCTTTATCTCTATCGGTGAGAGGTAGAAACTGTGTACTTCCTGTCGTCAAACGTTCCAAGCACATGCATACGAGAGGACCACAATCCCCTCTGGCTTCCTTCGTTTGTTGTGACGCGGTCTCGTCTCTGATAACTGTAACATTGAACTTCTTTGGCTTCTTATTTCCAGAATTAGTCCAATAATTAATTGCATCCAAGAATTTAGCCAAATGAGAGCTCCATCCCTTAATAATATCTCTCAAATCAGACAATGATATGTAATTTATCATGTTGTCATATACTATTGTCTTTAGGGATGGGAGCTGAAGCTCGACGAGAAGCCAATGAGTACGTTCCAAAACAGGGATAAACACCTGCATCGAAATGTAATAATTCAAATTGCGCAGTTATTTATGAACACCTTTAAAATATTTAAACAAATAAATACTAACCTTATCGACCTCCCACCATGCAGGATAAAGTTTAACTTGTCCATTAGCCAACACATATGATTCCTGTCGTTGATTCTTCAAGTGAACTACGTGAAAAGACGTCGACATAATTGTATATAGCATTTTTTTATATTTTTCTTCAATTTCCTTACAATTAGAAGACGTGTCACCCATGCATCAATATGTTGTTTTACAAAAAAAGACATATATTAGTGAATTACATAAATTTTTAAAAAAATTAATCAAACTGAAATATAAGAAGAAATATAAGACTTACCCCTCCATCGAAATATTCGTTGTCTTCAACCCCTAATAATACACCCTACCAAGACCGTTCAATCAACAAATGAATATCATCGTTGAGTTTGTATATGTCAGCGTAACACCCTTGGCTCCGCTCATGTAGATAAAAATCATATGCGGTCTTAGCCCAAAGGGTATTATCCAGAATTGTTTCCGGTAGTTGTTTCCTCTCCATTTCATCTGCCGGAATGGTACTGGCCGGTAACTTATACGAAAGCCAACAGTCATCCATCATGTCCGGTACGTGAGGGGGCTTCTCAATAATTCGATATATTACGCCGTGTGAATCGGGCTCTAGAATGTTGGGATGGACCTCTTCAACGATGACAGTGGCCTCTTGAACGGTGTGAGGGGACTCTTGAGAGATGATAGGGGCCTCTTGAACGAAAGGGGAGGCCTCTTGAACGATGACAGGTGAGTCGGGCTTTTTCTTACGGATTCTTCGCACTATTGGGGTGAACGGAGACGTAATGGCACGTGCACGCCGTCTGATGCGTGAACTCCGTCTTGCAAGAAAAACCCGACGTAGAGCATCCATCTTAGCGGGCCGCTAAAAATAAATTAATACATAAATCAGTAAATAAACAGACATGATATTAAATAGTGAAAACAAAGACAAATATATTTCAAACTTGCACGGTATTCACCCAAGTCATTATTATATCATTGGTCACAAAATGCATCAGATAACATTCCAGAAGTAAGCACTTATATAAACATTTAAAATGACAACATATAGGTTTAGTCCAGGTTCAATGACAACATAAAGAGTAGTAGTTTATTCTTGAAACTTAAATTTTTAACACTATGAAGTTAGTATTTGTCTTTTGGTTGAAGTAATGCAATTCATTCAAGTTTCAATTTGCAAAAGAAGAATAGAATCTGAAACTTAAAATCGCAACGCGAAAATGACTATCGCAACGCGAAAATGACTATCACAATGCGAATTTGACTATCACAATACGAATTTGACTATCGCAACGAGAGAATCGCAATGCGATTTTCATTTCGCATTGCGATTCTAATCGCATTGCGATTCTCTCATTGCGATAGTCATTTTCGCGTTGCAATAGTCATTTTCGTATTGCGATAGTAAACTATTCTTCTTCTGCAAATTGAAACTTGAATGGATTGCATTACTTCAACCAAAAGATAACCAAAAACAAATACTAACTTCACAAGGTTAAAGAATAAACAATTAAACAGTATTGGCAGCAACCGAATGAATTTACTAAGCAATCTAAGTGAAATTACGAGTAAATTTATCATCAAGTTAAATATGAAAAATATTAAACTTACCTCGTTGCGTAGAGTATGAACCTCGTTTTGCAACGATGCTACAATCTCACGTAGAGCTGCTACCTCACCACGTAAAGTAGACACCTCAACACGCCATGCACCATTGTTATCGCGTAAAGTACTGACCTCCTCACGCAAGGCATTGACCTCATTATGTAACTCCCCTAACTCATCCCGTGGAGGTGGAGGTAGAGGTGGAGAACAGGGAGATAAACGTCGTGGCATCTTTGCCGGTCACCTATCATGAGGTGATGGTGGAGAAGAGGCTCGATGATGTGACAGAATAGGCGATGACTCTCGTTGTGGAGGTGTATATTCGGGTCGATCAGGTGATGGCTCTGGGTGAGGTGATGGCTCTCGAAGTGGTGGCTGCTCATCATCCGTGCCATCAAAAAAAATGCTTACTAGCTTGCCACCAATCAGTGGCAAGCTCAGCTTTCGTGGGTGTCAGCCTCTATAATGGAGTGTTGGCCTCCTAACAATATAAAAGCTCAAACAAAGTTAAACGTGTACTAGTAATAACTTGTTTATAAACATATGGTAGTATTTGTGTTAACTTACATTATTTATTGTAGTATACGGTAGTAAATCTTCCCATTGCTGCAAGGACTGTTTCCTCTTCCAGGAAATAGCTATAAGAATATCATTAGAAGTTTTTAATTCATATGTCTGCATGGCGGGAAATGCCTCAAATATCCAAATCTACAAACAATATAATAACAAACATTAGTAATTGTTAAAGAATTAATTATAATTTTGGAAACATTATATAAAAATTATTACCTTAAAGGCCTAAATAAAGCCTGACAAAGTGTATTTGGAACCATCGCCACGCAAACTTTTCCGATCATCAAAGGCAGACGACAACTTATTCCATGTAGCTCTCCATAGATACGAACCCCACAGAAATAGGTTCCATGCATTTAGGTCCTCTACCAATTTAATTAGATCATTAGGAATAGGTTGTCGGGCCTCTCTGCCTAAAAAGCCGGCTTGCAAAAGTATTAGAAGGCATACTCGGACAACATCGACGTCATCCATCTGAGTAAAACCATCTTTCTTATTCAATAATCTCGTCAAGTCTTCCACGTGTAAATTCGACTTCTCCGTTGACAGCTCAGGAAAAACCCGGGAAAACCATGGTAGGCGGGTAATATGTCTAGTGTACCGATCTACATCTTCGTGTCTGAAGTGTAGACCGGTGATTAAGCAAAACTCCTCCCGCCCAAAACACGTATACGCCGGTGGAAAATCAAACCATATCTCTTCATCACGACGTTGTATAGTCTCTGGTAGATCTCTAGTCATGGTTTGAAGAAACAGATGGGTCAACATAGCATCTCCACCCGGATGTTGTACTTTCAGCCATGGCCCGAAGCAAGTATCCTCAAATATTTTTCTTTGTGCAGGTGAAAGCTTCGACGCAATTGTTTTGGCCAGGCTTACTTTATTTCTTAAGGTTAATTGAGCCGAATAAAAGTTCTGCAAAAACAATAAACATACCAATTTAGATATACCAAAAACTACACTGTGAAGATATAACAAGAACAATAAACATAAAGAGTAGTAGTTTATTCTTCAAACTTAAATTTGCAACACTGTGAATTTAGTATTTGTTTTTGTTTTTTGGTTGAAGTAATGCAATTCATTCAAGTTTCAATTTGCAGAAGAAGAATAGTTTCTGAAACTTTAAATCGCAACACGAAAATGACTATCGCAATACGAAAATGACTATCGCAACGCGAATTTAACTATCGCAACACAAGAATCGCAACGCGAAATGAAAATCGCAACGACAGAATCGCATTGCGATAGTCATTCTCGGTTTCAAATACTAAAATTGAAAGAAACTTGAATGGATTGCATTACTTCAACCAAAAGACAAAACAAAGACAAATACTAACTTCACAGGGTTAAAGATTAAACAGTTTTAGCAGTATTGGCAGCAATCGAATGAATATAATAAGCAATCTAAGTAAAATGGTTAATCTATTATTGAAAACACCAGTAAACTTATCATCAATTTCAATATGAAAAACCTAATAATAATGCAAAAATTTCAAAATAAAAATAATTAAAAAAACTAACCCTCGGTGGTTGATTTGGTTGATTTCCCATTTCTGACCCGTGAATGATTTTGCCGGAGATGGAGACTGATATCGTCGGAGATGGGGACTGATTTCATCGGAGATGGGGACAGATGTCGCCTTAGAGAGTGAGAGATGGAGATGAGATTGAGTTGTGATTTAGAGTTTTAGGTTATGAGTTGCGATTACGGGATATACTGTGGACGGTTCAGTGTTCCGATATATTAATATATTCATGTTTGGAATTTGAAAAAAATACGCGTTGGATATGAATGGCGCTATGTAAATTGCATTGCAATGGTAAGATTCGCGTTGCGATTTACGTATTCGCATTGCGATTTACGTATTCGCATTGCGAATTAGGAAAATCGCAACGCGAATTTGGAAAATCGCAATGCGATAGTCAGAATCGCGTTGCGAATCTGGAAACTGATTTGCGATACCGGAGATTGCGTTGTGAATTATCGATCGCATTGCGATTTAGTTGGTCATTTTGGTAAATCTAAAAAAATTTGGTTAAAATCGTATATTATAAGGCATTTTTGGTCACTGAAATTATTTTCTCTTATATTTATATTGGGTTGATCCGAATTTGGAGTCACAAGCATAAGCCTTGTTCTACAAGAGAAGCCCAAGAAAGATTACCGTCATCACTGCAATTATAACGGATGGCTAACACCACATCTGGTTTCATATGCCGACTTGGAAGCCAAGAAACGAACATGAAAGAACATGTAATCAAATCAAGGAAATGAATTCAGTCCACCAAAACTATCCATCACCATGTCAATGTTGATGAAAAGAATTGCATTCTTCACCAAATCCACACCTAAACCCTCCCCTTCTTTTCCTTTTAAATATTTAGAATCTCCCCTTCGTTCATGTCCAGCACAAACTGGTGCCGCCGATTTTTCTGGAGAAGGCGATATGGTGTACTCAGACCCACCGGAATCAGCCACTGTCAACTCCCTTTTGCCCAACCTCCTTCAACCACGTGTCGTCATCTACGATGGGGTCTGCCATCTTTGCCACCGAGGTTTTTCTTTCCCTCTTTTACCTTTCTCATTCTTTGGACAGAAATGGATTTTCAGGGATTGGGTTTTGTTTACCGTCGAATGTTTTCTTACTTTTTGCCGGTGGTTTTGTTTATTTAAAGGGGTTAAATGGGTGATTAAAGCTGACAAACACAGGAAGATCAAGTTTTGCTGTTTGCAGTCGAAGGCTGCTGAACAATACTTGAGAGTTTGCGGCGTTGATCGAGAGGATGTTCTTCATCGTTTCGTTTTCATTGAAGGCCTTGGCGTTTATCATCAAGGCTCCACTGGTTTGTTCTCTCAACCGTTGAATTTCTTCCAAATTATGTTATGCCATTTTGTATTGGGTTTGTCTTGGAAATTGTTGTTCAGTTCTTTTTCGGTTGTATTCCGCCCGTAGATTATATGCTATTCAGAGAAAATATCATTTTAGATTTAGAATTCTTTTGCCTTTGAAACTCGGAAATTCTAGTTCAATAAGGAAAAATACATTGCGGTCAAAGGTGGCAGTTGAAAATTATAGAAGAAATTTCTGGCACCACTTCCCTAATTCCAGAAGGCCATTTTTGAGAAATGGAAAAAAAATTGATGACAAGGTGGTATGCATATCTTCTATGGGTATTTTGTTCCATATTGACCTAGAGAAAACTCCAAATGGCTTTTAGGGTATTGGATATTCACTGTTACTAGTGTTGAATATGATTATGTGACGCCATAGTGTACTAAATTGCTCTCTCGGTTACGGACGTTGTGGAAATTATGACGTGATTTATTTTCTTAAAATATTATGTTTCTATATTGCGAATGCGGTTGCCGTGACGGGTATTCTTGGAAAATGTTATGATGTGGTCGCAACGTAGTGTTACGGCCGTAATTTAGTATTATGTGTGATGCACCTGAGTTTTATGCAATGAAATTGAACAATATTCCCATGGAAAAGCTTCTAAAACTTAAATGTAGGCTAAAGTTAATTTCTTGATGCTTATCAGATTGAGAATCTTATTGCTTGCTGTATATCTATTTATCTGCCTTTTGAAATTGAACATTAAGTTAAAATTGGTTGTTCTGCAGCTGCACTGAGAGTGCTATCATACTTGCCACTTCCCTACTCTGCTTTAAGTGCATTCTTGATAATTCCAACTCCATTGAGGGATATAGTTTATGATTTTGTTGCCAAGCGGCGTTACCACTGGTTCGGCAAGAGTGAAGACTGCTTAGTTTTGCAAGAGAGTGAACTATTGGAGCGTTTCATCGATAGGGAAGAACTTATGTTTCGTAATCAGTCAAAATTGTAAGCTGGATTCCCTTGAATATAAAATCAGACAAGTTTACTTTATGGTAGATGCCATTGTTTACCTATTTCTCAGTTGGATGTAAAATGTATACCAGAAAAAGTTCTCAACTTGGTTGTAATAGATCGTGAAACTTTATTTCTTATTTAGTGATCTAAATACTAGTATACTACCTGGGTCATCTGTTGTTTCTGTCTGAAGAACGATTCGGTTTTATGAACAACCAATAGATAATGAATGAGATAAAACAGAGAACAACTTTTGCTCAGAATTATTATCTTAAAATTGCAAAATTGTCTCTGTATCATATTCTGATCAAGAGCGTCTGGTACAAAGCTTCCTTCAAAACTACTTATAATAACAGCGAGTCACAATGACTTCTTAATCTCCAAAGGAAGCAGAAAAAGAACAAAAGCTTTCTCCAATACCTAAACTAGTTATTACAACATACGTTAAAATGTTACTAAATTTACATTCTTAGTAAGAGGCTTTTTGTCAATTGGTGCCGGTCTATTCTTTCCAGTCCTTGTCTACGTGATCCGTAGCCCATTTGACTGCAGCATGACCAGCTTGCGGCCCTCCGGGCAATCCGCACTCATTTATAGTATCAGCCATGTCAACGAAAGGTATGACCAAGGGTGTTCTAGGACCACCATATTCAGTAAGCAAAAAAGTACTGAATATCCGTTGAAAATAATCAGAAACAACATCATTTGAGTGCTTGTATAATTAGATAGGTCACCATAGCAACATAACAACTAATGTTTATTCCAATATTGCATACAAATTAGAAGTATTGGTTTAGTATATTGTTCTTTGTCACTAAGAACAAACTTGATTTCCATTTTTCTTCCAACAATCAGTCTAGATGAAAGCAGCAAAGACAAACAAGAGGCCTTTTCCTCCCTCCCTCCCTCCCTCCCTCCCTCCCTCCCTCCCTCCCTTCCTCCTCCATGAATAAGCTATTCAGTTTGTTTAAATTCTTTGATCACACTCCTAGGTTTTCTAGTTAAGCAGATATCTGCCTAAACAGATGAAACAATTTTCTCCGTTTTAACTAATTATGCTGCGGAAATCCAAGTCTTTCACCTTCATTTCATAATCATCTCATTTGAACTTCGAAGTCTATGTTACTCGGATTTAGGTACAAGTGTCAGACACGAGTATGTATTCAACACTGGAATGTTTAGATTTTTCTAAATTTGTCAGACAAGAGTTCATGCTAACATAGTTTAAAGTTCAAACCTTCTGGTAAAGTTGGTGCTTTTAGTTTATTTAGCAAGTGGTCTTCATGAAAATTATGAATGGGGTATTCTATTCTAAAATAACAGAAATCCAATCCAACAGTAATCTTCAGTTTTCCAGTTAAACAACAATCATACGCCCCCACCAGTCATCAAAATAAGAAGAAAATTTGGTGAAAGACAGTACCTCAACACAGATTCCTACAACTTCTTCAACCGAGTCTCCATAAACACCCTCCTTGGACAGTTTCTTGAGCAGATGCGATCTAAATTTATCCGTTTCCTGAAGTAATCCAAATTAATAAAAACAAGTGAAGTTTCAGTCAATGAATCATACCCAAGGTAGTTAAGAGGCATAAAGATGCGAGAGGAAGAAGAGAGAACTTACAGCACCAGCATTAGCTTTGTAAGCTGGAAATGCTGAATTGCTGATAATCAAAATAACGGACATATAGGTGGGACAAAACTCCTACACAATATGTTTCTTTGATTAGGTGATCTGTTGTAGTCCTTAGAGTTAAGACTTTGATTGCACTAACTCTCAGTTGGCTGGCAGCCTGGCACTGTTGATGAACTTGGAAATGTATGAATTCTGGGCAATCTATGTTGAGGCGGTTAAGAGGTACTGAATTTATTAGGTTAGATGTGGCGTGCTTGCGTGTGTATTGTAATAAAGATCCGAGACAGAACTTGTTAATCTGTGTTTTGAGTAGGGATGGCAACTCAACCCGAATCCGACGGGTTCCGACCTGACCCGACCCGATCGGGTCGGATTTTTTTAAAAAAATTTCGGGTTCGGGTCGGGTCGGGTCGACCCGATCCGATCCGACCCGACCCGAAAAATATATATAATTTTATCCTATATATTTAGGGATAATTACAATAATGTCCCTCCATATATAATTTTTTTCAATTAAGTCACTGTTTTCATTGAATAAATTTTTTTTATTATTATTTCGGGTCGGTTCGGGTCGGGTCGGATTTCTAAGTCATATATTCGGGTCGGGTCGGGTCGGGTGAAACCTTAATTTCGTCGGGTCGGGTCACGGGTGAAAAACCCTTTCTTCTCGGGTCGGGTCGGGTGGCCCAAAAACCCGACCCGACCCGACCCATTGCCATCCCTAGTTTTGAGGGGGAAATGCTGACCCCAATTAATTTTTACGAATAAAATATCTTGCTAGTTTGATATGTGGCATAATTACACAATATTTTAGTATAATTACACATTTGGTCTCTGTTATTTATATATTCTCTCAATTTAATCCAACTTTTAATAAATTAAAATAAATTTAATTCTCCATTCGAATGATGCCATGTGTCGTGCCACATGTAACCATTCGATTAGAATACCAACTTTATTTTAATTTAATATATTTATTTTTTACCGATCAAAGGTGCACACGTGTCACCTTTAGTTGAAAAAAAGAAAAACAAAACAAAGTAAATTAGGGCCAAAAGGATTTGAACTAAAATCACTTGGGAAACTATATATACTTTAAAAAATATTTTTTATATTAACTTATTAAATATATTTTATTATTAACTTAATTTAAAAATATATATTTTATGTTTACATATTTTAAAATTAAGATAAGAATAAAATATATTTACTAATTTAAAATAATAATATAATATATTTAGTAAATTAAGATAAAATATACACTATAAGAAGTTAAAATAATAATAAAATATATTTTTAAAAGTTTAGATAAGAATGATATATGTATTTTTAAATTAAGTTAATAATAAAATGTATTTAATAAGTTAATATAAAAAATATTAATTAAAGTTGATGTATATATCATTTTGTTTATTTTGGATTAAGTATTGGTAAGTATTGGTCTTGGCTCAATGATTGGGTACGTACTTGATTTTTCAAGAGAATCAGGTTTGAATCATTTTAGTCTTAATTTGCTTTGCTTTGTTTTCTTCCAACAAGAGGGTGACACATGGCATTAATCAAATAATGACACGTGAAACGAACATACCACCAGTAACATGTGACATGATGCAATTGGAGGATTAAATTTATTTTAATTTATTAAAACTATGACTAAATTGAGAAAATATGTAAATAATATGGACCAAATATGTGATTATACCAAAACACCACATCACATAATATGTTAATTGTTAACGACAATCAACCCATGGTGACCACATCTTAATTAAATAAAACTGAAATTGATCATATCTTAATTAAATAAAAATGAAATAATTATATATATTATATATTTTAAAATTAATAAAAAAATTTGGACTAAACAAAAACATAAATAATAAATCATATAGTTAAACCTTTTAAATTCTACTCGTTCAAATACTCACTCATATTCTTATATATTACATATGTCTACTCTGTGTTAGGGTAGGTATTTACGTAATGCGGCTGGAATCTTTTATTGATCGATGTGCTGTGACAAATTTTGACCGTAAATATGTTTTTTTTTCCTCTTTAAAATTTTCATTTTTCTCAATAGCACGAAATAATGGATATTTTCAGATGGAAAATAATATATTTTTCATTTTTAAAATCTTTCATGGTTTATCTGTATTATCAAGAAAAGCTTCAAAATTAAAAAAGAAAAAATGGCAAATGAGGGGAAGCAATATATTTTGGCGATTGAAGCTAAGCTAGCCAACAGCTACCATAGCCCTTGACCTTAACGAGCATTCGCATAATATATATGAATAAAGCATATGCTTAGGCAGCTAATCTCACAACCAATCAGTCATATTTACAAACATGGATTCTTTGATCAAAGCTACCATTTGGTCTACCTGTTTTACGGCATTAATCATTGTTGTTGCAGCTGAGAAAGGTGCTGCCACCTGCGCCACCGCCGAATACCACCAACCTTGTATCACCGTCTCTTGGTATCGGATTCCTTGCTTTCATCGTCTCGATTTTCGTTGTCAACCACAGAATCTGAGCATCCTCCATACACATACATATATAATAATAAAGCTTGGTATGAATGTATGTATGGTATTCCGATTTCCATGTTTTGACTTTTTACATCAATAATGTTCTCATTTTGCTTTATCATATCAATCCAGCTACATGTACCGCCATTTATGTAGTACAAATACCAGCATATTCGTATTTGATTTAAAAAATTAATGATATGAGGCACATTAAAAAACTCAATTATGATCCTTAAATTATAATTCTCACTCTAAATTGATCCTATATTGTCTTAATATTTTAATTTTTTTAAATTATGATCCTCATTTGAAATTATTCTCTGAACTTTTAATTATTTCAATTTCATCCTCAGATTATCAGTATATGATAATCACATCTCATATTAGTAAAAGTGTAAAAGAATTATTAAGAATTGTATAGATATTGATATGTATTATGTAATATGTCATAAAAGATAATTAATATTGTATTGCATACTTAAAATTGTCATTTAGAATGAAATTAAGATGATTTTTAGTCCCCAAAATTTAGAGGCACAGTAATAAAAGACATACTGAACTTGTATGATATTTCTTCGGGACAACGAGTTAACCTATCAAAATTAATCATTTATTTTAGTCCCCAAAATTTGATGGAATATCGTGTTTTAATTAAGAACATTTTTTGGATACAAGAGGTAGACATGCTTGGGCATTACTTAGGATTACCGTTACATATAGAGAAGAACAAGACAAATACTTTTGGATATTTACGGGATAAAGTATTGAAGAGTAACAGGCTAGACAAAGCGGCTGATATCCTATGGAAGACGAGGGGTATTTCTTAAAGTTGTAGCCCAAGCTTTGCCACAATACGCATTTCTTGTTATTTGCTTCCGAAACACCTGTTGAAAGAAATTACTGGGATCATGCGTCGGTATTGGTGGACTAGAATGTCAGACAAGAGAGGATGACCAATTATGGATTGGACCAATA